ACATTTTCAAATAACATTGACATGACCTGGTCAAACATTTCCATTTCAATAAAACAATGTTTTGAGATATGTCCAGGGGTGCTGCCCTTCGCTCAGGACCTCCCTCATCCTGGCCTAGCCTTTTAAAGTCCCCCTCCCCGAAGGCCATATTTACCCCAAGGTTCAGTCTTTGAAAGTTCCCCCTCTTGAGGTAAATACAGCCTTCTGGCCTAGTCCTTAGGCCTGAAGGCCCTTCTGGACTCTGGGGCAATGCAGAGGCAGAGGATAGGGGGACCCGGGCCCTCCCACTCCACTGGGTTCCACCCCAGGGCCCTATTGGCAGTGACTTGGTCCACTGCCTGCTCAGCAAGAGGTTCCTCCCCTCAACCCGCTGAGCACTCAGGGTAGTATTACTCCCTGCCCTGGGCTGCTTCCTGCCTCCCTGCCATTCCCCTGCAGTCGTACCTCTCCCCAGTCTCCTGGGCCGGGGTTGGAGTGGCAGCTGAGGCTATGGCATTGGTTCTGGGTGTGTGGACTCCTCTGGGTCAGGAGCTAGCCTTTTCGGTCCTTCCCCTTCGGCTATCAGCCCCAAGTGAGCCAGCTCAGGGCCTTTTATAGTGAGGCTCACCAGTGAGCATGCCCGGCAAGGCCATGGGGGTAGGGTGCTCTCCGCCAGCTGGACCCTCTCAGCCAGCTGGGCCCTGCCCGCAGGTTCATTTATAGTGCAGGGCGGGGCCGCCCCATCACAAGATAGAAAAAATACTATGTAAACAAGTTTGACTAGTGTTGCATACAGGGTTGGATTACCATGCCAATACTGGCAACTTAGGTATGAACCTTTGTTTTTTTGACTTTTGCAGGTTCAGTAGCCAGTGAAAATTAACTTGAAAAGGAAACTGCAGCTTTGGTTTAAAATAAAAATCCAAGACACTTGTATAGTTGCTGCTTAAAAATCATTACCTGAAAAGTTCTCTAACTTGAGCAATGTGATGTAAAAAAAGCAGGAATTGCAAACTAGTAATTGTGAGGATTAGACAACTTTACATGACAATAGACAGACACTGAGTGAGAAAAGTCAGACACAAAAATGATCAAACACCACTTAAAGACCTTAAAAGTTCTGAACAGGCAACGGAACTCATGCTGATGCACTCTGTCATATCCATAGACATGACTGTTTCTCATTTGGTATTATTGAAGCCAAGAGAGCATTAGACTGAGATTGATGGCTGTCTGCAGTACAGTTAAGAGGAGAAAGTGAATGCATGCATTTGTCAGCATCTAGCAGAGATGAGTAGGCACGTAACAGAAAGGATATGTAGCCATTTCTGCATACATCATGATTTACTAGAGCAGAGAGAAACTTCCACATTAAAATCTGAAGCTAGTAAAATATTGCCATATTGGTTTTAGGTTTCATTTTAAACTGGTATCCGAGGGGTAGCCACGTTAGTCCAAATCTGCATGAACAACAAGAAGTCCTGTGGCACCTTAGGGTATGTCTACGCTGCCACCCTAGTTCAAACTAAATATTTAAATCCCAGGCTTCATTTGCAAGTTCGAATGCCTACATTAGCCACCCTAGTTCAAACTAGGGTGGCAGTATAAACATACCCTTATAGACTAACAGATTTATTGGAGCATAAGCTTTCGTGAGCAAAGACTGACTTCGTCATATACATGTAGTGGAAATTCCAGAGGCAGGTATAAATATACAGGCACATGAAAAGAAAGAAGTACCAATCAAGAGGAAGGCCAAAGATAACAAGGTCAATTCAGTCAGAAAGGATGTGGCCCACTTCTAGCAGCTGATGTGGAGGTGTAAAAACCGAGAAGAGAAACTGCTTTTATAGTTGGCTAGCTAATCACAGTCTTTGTTTAATCCTAAAGTGATAGTGTGAAATTTGCCAATGAATTGAAGCTCTGCAGTTTCTCTTTGAAGTCTGTTTGAAGTTCTTTTGTTGCCGGATGGCTACTTTTAAATCTGCTACTGTGTGTCCAGGGAGATTGAAGTGTTCCCCTACAGGTTTTTGTATGTTACCATTCCTGATATCTGATTTGTGTCCATTGATTCTTTCACATAGGGACACAAGTCAGATATCAGGAATGGTAGCAGTTTCTCCACTCTTGGTTTTCACACCTTCACATCAGCTGCTAGAAGTGGGCCATATCCTCCTGGACTGAATTGACCTTATTATTTCTGGCCTTCCTCTTGATCGGTTCTCCTTTCTTTTCATGTGCCTCTATATTTATACCTGCCTCTGGAATTTCCACTACATGCATCTGACGAAGTGGGTCCTTGCCCATGAAAGCTTATGCTCCAATACATCTGTTAGTCTATAAGGTGCCACAGGACTTCTCATTATTTTAAACGGGGAAAACAAATTAGGTTTGCTGAAATAGTTACATGGCAAGATTTAATTTTTGATTGGCTGCCTGGATATTGAGGTAAAACAGGGCCCAAATTCCTATTTTTGATGAAGGAATCTGAGTCCACAAGGCATTACATCCTGTGAATTTGGGGTCTGAATACAGAAGAACTGATAAAGCAGCCTCACAAACAGCACAGAACCCTGAGTTGCACTAAGGCTAGAACAAGAGAGATTTTTGGCATGCTACATATCAGCTCAAGTTTAGGGAAGCATTCTTATTTAGGATAGGACATATTCTTAAGTCCCAGGAAAGTCAACTGGACCTCAGCAGCTGCTTAAGACTGGCCTGAATCAGGGCCATGGCACAACAAAAGGGGAAACCAAATGAACATGCCTTTAAAATCAATTTAATTTAATCTGGGACCACACAAACTAAAGTGCCTTACTCATAATCTTACAATTATCACATGATTTCACTACAGGGCAGACTTTTGGAATGTTTGCATTCCTTTACCTGCTCTGTGCATGTCCCACCTTTTGGGGGTTCTTTTAAAACTTGGCTCTGAACTTGCTGGTTTAAAACTTGCTTAGGTGGCAACTGCAATATCCGTGTAAGGCGCTGCTGTAAATTTCTGATATTGAATCTAAACCTTAACCCCATTCTGGTTACTACTAACAAATGTGCAGCTAGAAGTGGGATTTTTAATTTGAGTGTAGTTCATTACTGATCTTAGTTTAGAATTCCATACACACTGGCTAGTTAAAATCTTGGTCTTAAAAACACATGTATGCATGCCTACAAGGCAGGGAATCAGTAGTTCAGGACTGGCCCGGGAAAGAGG